AATGCATCTTGAGTTACATGTGAATTTTATAGCCCTGATAGTGGGGTTTCATTATCGGAGTTCCCGTGCTGTCATTTACAGTCGTCAAGTGTGCGGCAATTACTTATTTGCGTTCCTTAGGTATGCAAGGATCCTACAATATTTTTTACATATATATTTATTTAGATTAATTATTTATCAGTACGGGACTCATGCTCTGTGAATGTACTTATCGAACGGTATGTGTTGTACCAAAATGTACGTGCTACTGTGTTTGCTGTACTATAGGCGGATCCGGGGTGGAGGGTGGGTGTGCGCACCCACCCCTACCCCACTCTTGTCCTGGAACCCATCCACCCCCCTTTCTCAAAAAGCTGTATCCGCCCCTGTGTACCGTACAACAGTGTGTAAATTATGCCTCTTCTCTGTAAACATATGTGTACTTGTAATATACTGAACATCATTGAAAACGCACCAGTCTAAATTTGTCCATATTTTCATCAAGATGGATTTCAGCATGACAATGATCAATGAATATAACTAACATGAAGTCGAAGGGCATGTCCAGTTGAAAAAATGCTTTAGAAACAAATTCCTGTCCACAGTATGACTCTTAATTCCAAAATGCATCAACATGCAGCCACGCCATGAAAAAGCGCGAATTTCATGTTGACATCATACTGACTGTGACATTAAAAGCAGGTGTATGAGAACCGATTCTCATTGCTTCACTAACGATTGTGAAACGAGGACAGAGATGCCGAGGTTAACACCACACGAAAGAGAACGTGCACTAGGCATGATTCAGGTTGGCACCAGCAGCAGGGATATTGCTCGACAGCTTGGACTTGGCCACTCCACCATCGTTAGGTGACGACATCAGTAGACAGGCAGCGCCCGTGACCTTCAATGACCTTGGCAACAACGTGTTACGACGTTCCATCAAGATCGCCATATTGACCTTGTCCATGTCAGTGATTGAACACTGCCGACTGCCAGGACTGCTGCACTAGTTCAAGGTTGACGTGGGGGTCATCAGAGCTGACTCCATGCGACGCCGTCTACACGCTACAGGGCTCCATGCTCGACGTCCTTACGTTGGACCAATTCTGACTGACAGACACCGTAATGAGCGTATACAATGGGCTAGCATGCATTTTCAGTAAAGGTTACAACAATGGCATGGTGTGGTAGTCACTGACGAGTCACGTCTTTATCTACGTCATGCTGACGGTCGATTATGCGTTTTGCGTAGACATGGTGAACGTTATGCTGATGAGTGTGTGGTTCAGACAGACCTTTGGGTGGTGGGAGCGTCATGGTCTGGGGTGGAATAAATTACAATCACAGGACTGCCTTCATGTCTATCAAGGGAGAGTTAATGCCCTTTATTACCGTGAGCAGATTCTTCAGAATCACATCGTATCTGTTTTCAATCACCACCAAGATGTCCATACTTTTCAACAGGACAACGCACGGGCACACACAACAAGACTTTCCATGCAGTATCTCGCCCAGCAACACGTCCAGGTTATTCACTGGCCAGCACAGTCGCCAGATGTATCCCCCATGGAGCACTTGTGGGACGAAATTGGTCAAAGTCTTTCGCGGCGACAACAGATGCGAAACACCCGGGAACTTTAGGCTGCACTTCTGCAGAAGTAGGATTGCCATCCTCAAGAACTCTATTCGGACGCTTATTGACTCAATGAGGAAACGTTGAACTGCATGTGTCAGTGCAAATGGCGGCCTCACGCGATATTGACTTTTCGATTTGACCCCACGTGTGTTTGATCCTTTCTGACTGTGGAACATTTCAATGAATGAGCGTCTTTTCTGTGTTGTTGTTTTTGTCAGTCGTCCATCTGTTATTATCCTCTCAAAAAATATCAATTCCTTACACGTGCTTTTAATATTCTGAACTTTTATAAGTGGTGCGTTTTCATTGATGTTCAGTATATATTAGGGAATGTACGTCTCCCAGGTAAACCAGGATGTGTTGCACCTCTGTATTTGTCGTACACCTGAACCACTTGTACACCTCATGGGCGGATCCAGGAATTTTGAAAGGGGTGGGGTGGGGGTTGTCGAACCCCCTGAACCACCACACACCCCACCCCACACCCTTGGCTCCGCCAACGCAAAAAACAAATATCTTCTTAAGTCATTTTCAAAAAGGGGCCGAAAAAAAAAAAAAAAAAAGGGGTCGAAAAAAAACAACCTGACACACACACACACACACACACACACACACCTTTGGTCCGCCAATGCACCTAGCTCTGTTGTACACCTGTATGCCCGGTTCACTTGTTTGTGGCTATACATGATATACTCGCTGTGAATGATATTTAAAGCAGTCAGCGCTGAGACAAGACAACATGAGGTAGACATGTAGCATCCCTTGGCACCCCGATAACCCTGCATCCCAGAACTAACACGTATCCTCAGCTTAAGACCCCACGAAAAACCAACATGAACATTCATTCTCTCCTACAGTTGGAAAAAAGAAACAACAATAACATTTGTGAGGGGAAAAGAAGCATTAAATCTATTTCTGAAAAATACCTGTCTCAACCGAAGGTGCGGCTAATAAAATATTAATGTTTTATTACGGTGTTCAAACAGAATATATATTTGTGCAAATATTTAAACTAACAACATGTTGCGTTCCCTCTGGCAGACAAAAGAAATTTTTCACAAATATCCATGCAAGTGTTGACTCAATGCATTGAGAGAGTGTCAGTTATTTTTATTCAGCGTGTGGCACTACAAGCAGCTGATGTATAAGGTTGTTGAATTTCTGTGACATATTTCTTGGAATCTTCTTGTAAGGCATTGTCTTAACGTTAGTACATTTCCCTGTACATAGTGTATGTACAAAATAAATGCATGTACGAAATGTCTGAAAGTGACTGAACTGTCTCCCTTGTCTAGTGCTAGGTTTGGGGGTTTGGTTTTAACGCCACACTCACAATATTCCAGCTATATGGCGGCGGTCTGTAAATAATCGAGTCTGGACCAGACAATCCAGTGATCAAAAGTGTGAGCACCGGTCTACGCAACTAGGATACGATGACACGTGTCAACCAAGTTAGTGGGCCTGACCACCCGACCCCGTTAGTCGCCTCTTACAACAAGCATGGGTTGATAAAAGACAAATTATACCCCGGATCTTCACGGGTGTCCGGTCAAGTGGATAAAAGGGCTGTTCGGTTAAAAAGTCCTTGGTTCGATCATCGGTTGCGACGGCGTCATTCAAAAATAACGTTAAACGATGGTACTTGTTGTTCCTCTGCCTTGTGTTCGGGATGAAACAAGAACATGTCGGCTCGGAGTGTATGTGTGAACTGGGTTAAACTCAAACTTCCTGGGGCGGTGGGGTAGCCTAATGGTTAAAGCGTTGGCTCGTCAAGCCGAAGACCCGGGTTCGAATCCCCACATGGGTACAATGTGTGAAGCCCATTTCTGGTGTCCCCCGCCGTGATGTTGCTGGAATATTGCTAAAAGCGGCGTAAAACCAAACTCAGTCAGTCATAAACCTCCTTCACAAGCGTGTGGTCGTTATAAAATGTTAAAACATTCCTGAAAGGTTTGAGCGTAGCTGACCTTGACATCCTCTACATACATTGATGACCTTGACATCTTCTACATACATTGTTGGCCTTCACATCCTCAGTATAGAGGGGTGACCTTGACATCCTGTGTATACATAGGTGACCTTGACATTCTCTACGTACATAGATGACCCTGCCGCCTCTACATGCATAGCTGAATATATAATGTTGTACCCTCTGACGCTCGGTACCAGATATAAACCTGGGTCGATTGATGGAGTTGTGGAAGGTGTCAGTCTCGCTACCGTAAAGCGTAAAGCTTCCCCCAGTGTTACTCTGTAAAATATAGGGCTGTAACGATGCATCGAACTATCGATGGATTATTGTTTTAGTCTCCGATAACAATTAATCGATGGTTGAAACGAAAAACTATCGATGCATCGATAGTATGTGTGACCATCGATTGGTTAGTAATTGACTTCCTTTGATAAATGCGCAGCGCAAAATAGAAGAAGTACCAGATTCGTTGACTTTGACTTAGAGTTATCCGCCCCTGTTACCTCTTAAACAATCTTCATCTGGGTTTCAAGTTTCTTGTCGGTTATTAAAAGAGACTGAATCTACTTCAGCTTGCTTTTACCTCATATAAACTATACATTCATTTGGGAAATGAATTCACTTGAGACAATTCAACAAGAAAAAAACTATTGCAATAGTATTGCAATAGTTGGTCGCAATAGACTATCGCTATTGCAAGTATGTTGCAATAGACTATCCCTATCGCAATAGTTGTTTCCCCCTCAATAGTCACCCCTAGTAAAATAGGTTCTGCCTTTCTGGTCCTTCTCTCTATCCTTCTCTGCATGTGTGTGTGTCTACTCCTGTTCTCTCTCTTTCTGACACCCTCTCTCTGTCATTCACTCTCATACTTAGCGTTTAAGTAATCATTCTTAAGGACATCTCTTTTTCTCACTCTCTTTCTCGTGCTCAGTGTTATTCTATCGTGGTATCTATATCTTAACTCTTTCTTCCTCTCTCAAGCTCCATGCGTCAGGGTATCTCTCTCACATCCAAACACACGTCTCGCACTATCACGATACACCATCACAAATACACCCAAACAAATGCAAAACACATCGTGTTCACATATGCGCATTCAAACATGCAAAACTGCATCTGTGTGTGTGTGTGTGTCTCTCTCTCTCTCTCTCTCTCTCTCTCTCTCTACACACACACACACATACACACGCACACACACGCGCACACACAGATAGACATAGAAAGATTTGGTGATGTTATTTTAGAACAATATTAATAACTGAAATTGTTTTTATGCGTTTATACTACATGCAACTTATAAACTACATTAAATATTCCCAACTGCATACATTAGGTGAACGTGTCTAATGGTGTACTTTGAGTCCATCGTAGCAGGTGTTTGTCTGACTCACTCCGTCTTGTTGACAGGCTGCCTCAGATGCGCCGAGACGTCCACGCGGAGGGATACAAGGTATAAGCTGCAGTGGCACGGTGACCTCGTCACAACTGGATGAACTCTAACCACTCCGCTGTTGCGATACCTGCTGTTGTTGGGGCCTGTTCCCGAGTGTGCTGTACAGGTGAAACAGAAGCAAGGTGAACGACACATACAAGCTCAACTGAAGATGAATTGCTGTAAAGTTGTGTTTGCTGCGGATCTCAGCGAACACTCTGACTACGCATTCCACTGTAAGTAGCTCTTAATTTTGTCCAAAATATTAGAGCAAAAATTTAGAATTTGTGGTTGTTTTCACAGATATTTTCCCTTAACATCCGAAGAACTTTTCTCTTTTACCCAAAGGAATATCAAAACTGATTATTCCGTATTTGTTCACATTCACAACAAATTGATTTGCCTATGCATGTGTTTGTAACGGCCCCACTGACGGAGAAGGATATGCTTACTCTATTGCAAACTTGTGGTGTCATCATTATTTCAGTAATTCTTAAATGCGTCCTTTGAACCGACTCTGCTTCTAACGGACAGTGTCATTTGCATAATAATTATGGAAATGGTCTTGTTTTTTATTTCATTGTAAGTATTACATTTTATGTATCATATAACGTATACTGACAAACTGATACGAAATGTTGTACGAATGAAACATTGTCCATGTGATGTAAAATGGTTATCCAGTCAATATATGGGTCAGTTAGCAATTTGCAACTGTCAATTTTCTAGGGCTGTTACGATGCATCGAACTATCGATATATTGCAATTGTTGAGTCTCCGCTACCAACTAGTCGATTGTAGAAACGAAAAACTATCGATGCATCGATAGTATATATGTGACTATCGTTAGTTTAGTATTTGACTTCCGTTGATAAGTGCGCAGCGCACAATACAGGAAGTGCCAGATTCGTTCACTTTGATTTAGAGTTATCCGCCCCTGTTACCTCTTAAACAAACTTGAAGCTTGTCGGTTATTAAAAGAGACTGAAACTACTTCAGCTTGTTTTTATTTCATATAAACTATACATTCAATTGGGATATGACTTCAAATGAGACAATACATGGAGAGAAAAAAACTATAATTGCAAAAGTATTGCAATAGTTACGCTGCTCGCAATAGTATGTTGCAAAAGTCTATCGCTATCGCAATAGTTGTTTCCCCCTCAATAGTCACCCCTACAGTTTCCCAATACATGTCCTGATTATTAATCTTTGTTTTTGGTGTGTTTTGTTTTGTTGTTATTGTTGTTTTGGTGTGGGTTGTTTGCTTGTTTTTAACGCTTCGTTCTCTGTAAATAATCGAATCTGTAGACAATCCAGTGATTGACATCATGATTATCATTCCACGCAATCGGGATACACTAACATGCTTAGACCAGCCCAACTGAACCGTTCAGTCGCCTTTGATGACAAGCACAAGTTGTTGGGGACATGTAGTTTTCCGGAATCCGAAAGGGTCAGTTACTATTGCTCTGTGATCAAAGCGTAAGATCTTAAATAACACGTACCTCATGTTATGATCTTAGCATGCACTCACGGCGACGATATATATATATATATATCTTAAATAACACGTACGTCATGTTATGATCTTAGCATGCACTCATGGCGACGATATATATACACGATGCCATGGTATGTATACAATCTACGACATACTGATAAGCCAGTGTCGGTCAAAGCATCTTCCGAAAATGCCACTCACAGAAGTTATCTTCCGAAACGTTAGCCCTAGTCGCTCATTAGAACCATATGTCTGTACCAGAAGCATTTTTATACATCTACACGCAAATGAGAATGAACGCAAGGTAGGTGGATACGATAAAATTTATAAGGTATCTTTTGAACTGTTTTATTTTGAAACTTCTATCCGTAGTCCATCCACCATAGAAGAGTTATTCCCCTTGTTTATACACCTACGGCAACCGCCCTAGCGCCTACAGAATATATTAAAAGGTAGTCTTACTCAAGTCTAGAATGATTTGGCAACTCTCGATTGCTGCAGTTCTGGGAAATTAAAGACTGTTCTGGGCTCCATTTGTTTTGTAGATGAATATATCTTTTCATGTTCTAAATGAGATTACTCTGTTTCTGAGACAAAATGTCAGTCTACTCGTGGCCTTTTACTTTGCATTCAGAAGTGATATAGAGGGAAGCACCAGACATCATTTCTCGTTACGGTTATAGGTTAAGCTGTTGTGAGACTGAAACAAATTACATGAATACATGTGTATATGTCATAGTAGTTATTTATGCCATTCGGATCCGCTCGGATTATTCCGCTACCGATACAATGCATTCGGCAGCAACGGAATAGTGACATCGTATGAGCTGAATGTTGACCGCATTGCAACCGATTCTTGCGCATGTAGTTCCACTACATGTCGGTCAAATAGTTCCCAAAATGAGATATACAGTTTTAAATCGAACAATATTTATATGTGTATATAAATCTGTTATTAAGATAATTACTACTACAAGTACCATTGTCTCTATTAGGTTAGTGTCAAACTCAAATCTCATATCAGAGTAAGAATCAGGGTACAGAACATTTACAGAGCATCAGCAGAGCATACATAGAGCTTCTACAATCTAAGAATTCTTGGAAGTCATGTATGTGTCATGTGAAGTGTGGTACGGGTCGCCAACCTGGACGTCTAACTAAACTGACGTACTAAAGAAAGTATACAGCTGGGTCTGGGGTCTATTTTCCCATAAAAAAACCGTTATTATTTTTCAAGTCTTTACAGGCAAAACTCTTGTGTACAAATCGATATACCCAGCTAAATCCATTAATGTCTTAAGTGAAGTGAGGTGAGGTGAAATTGGGTTTAACGTCGTGCTTGAGAATATTTCGCTCATATGACGACGTGCATGCGCGCGTGTGTGTATGTGCGGCTGCTTGTACTAGCCCAGACTGAAGCTGGTTTTATAGTGCTAGCCCACTGAGATACCATGCCGCAGTGAAGCATGAATACCCCACTCAGACACATTATACTGACTCCGAGCCGACCAGTCCTTGTTATACCCATTAATGCCGAGCGCCAGACAGGGACCAACAAGTACCATATTTTAACGTCTTTTGGTACGACGCGGTTGGGGATCGAACCCGCGACCTTCCCCTCTCCGGGCGGACACTCTAACCACTACACCACGGAAGCGGTCTAATGTCTTAAGTAGACGCACATGGTGATTACAATATGTCCTTGCGCCAAATAGTGTGTGTTGTTTTGCACAGCCTGGTTTATTGTTTACACGATATTTGTTCAGTTTGGTTATTCTGAGACCGATATTGCACAGCGCGATACATATGAATGTTTTTAGTTTAACATTAATATTACCAGCAATGGCTTTACAATAGTCCCAATATGTAAAGTCTTAGTCCAAATGATTTCAATTCTCAATCGAAAATTCATCTCAACATGCGATACCCCGGATTTCTCACAAGCCTGTACATATGTCTGAAATATCCCGTTATCCCTTTCAAACGTGTGTAAAACGTAAGTGCTCTAACGGTAATTATTTACATGACCGCCATCGTGTAACAGTTAAAGACTTACAGAGTGGTTTGGTTGGATTGATGGGAAGATAAGCATTGTTATGGCAGTGACGTATATTTATTAGCTTGACCTTGACCCTGTAAAAGCTTTCAGACGAAGTGACTCATTTTACCAAAATGGTATTCTCAACAATTATTTTTTGTATTCTGAAAGGGACTTTGTCACATTGTCGCGATGTCGTCCTTTGGTTATTTATGATATTTTTTGCTGCTTTTAAGGGTTCCAATGCAACAATGTACCTTCTGTAATTTCATATCATTTAGATGTTATTTAATGAAAAACGTATAATTTGAAAGCGGCAATTTTATAAAATTAGATATTTAAATAATTGAATATTTTGTCTCATGGTTACAAGCTTGAATGTCCAAGAACAGTGCCCTGTCTCTTCACACAAAGGGCGGAGGGGTAGCCCAGTGGTTAAAGCGTTCGCTCGTCACGACGAAGACCCGGGTTGGATTCCCCACATGGGTACAATATGTGAAGCCTATTTCTGGTGTCCCCCGCTGTGATATTGCTGGAATATTGCTAATAGCGGTAAATAACTATACTCACACTCGTCACGCATAGATTAATAATGCTAGTGTTGAATTACTACTAACTGTGTCTGACTTGACAATAGTCAAGGTGACTTTAACAATGAACTTTCTATTCTCGGCTATAGTTTCTGTGTTCAAATTTCCCATTCGTGAAACCGGATACCCACATAAGTGTTTTGTGAGGTCCTTTTTAATGCTTTTGGGAAACACTATCGTTTCAGGCCCCCGTTTTCATCCATGCATCAATGCATGTACGTTTCTTTATAATTAATGTGTCTACGTCGTACGCAACGACACCCTTGCTAAATCTGCACAAATCTACCAGGTCACAGCGTAAAGGATCGTCTACCTTATACGTCCCCAGCGGTATCTCATGGACAGCGGTCACCATGCCCTACAATATATCGACAAATGAAACTTTAAAGTGTCCATGTTATCGGATAAGTCAAAAGCTGATGCTGTTGAATAACCGTACTCAAGACATACAGGTCCTACTCAGATTTAAAACGCAAAAAATCACTTATCGTTCTTTAAGCCGTCTCCAAGAAATGTTTATATACAGGAGTAATATACAAGGTTAACTCAGAAACTGTTTCAAGGTCGGTTTAATCTACTGGCGGTTCAGCAGTTTAGTTCAAATGCTCCTTAATCACGTCGAAGGTCCGAGTTCGAACCTTAAAGATAGCACTATTGGAAAAGATAGTCGTAAAACCGCTGTTTATGGTCTGCGCGCACCATAAAATTTTATTACGCCCGGCATTAAGGGAATAAAACAAGGGCTGCTTGACTGGGCGTCGGGATTATGTGTCTGAGTGGGCAATTCCTGTTAAATGGCGGTTTGCACTAAAACGTCACCACTAGTGCTGGCTGATACAAGCAAAGCACATGCGCACTCACTAATATACGCGCGCGCTGTTGTTGGGTCTCAGCTGCGCATACGTCTATGCACATGCACGTGCACGTCGCCGTCGTAAGTACGCTGTATCTTGAACCTATGTCCACCTTTCCTGTTATTAACTTGACAAGAAAGTATTAAGCCGTCCTTGGTAAATCTAACACAGCAATACATCAAGGGTAATAACTAACATGGGTGATTTAGCCTTTAATTATACTTCAGTCTAATCTCACCCCTCGCTCACA